CAAGGGTACGCACGCATGCCCATGTGAGAGAGGGGGGCGGAAGAGATGTTATCCCTGGGTTGGCAAGAAACAATAGGCTGATAGGTACCTAAAATGTGGATTCTTAGGCCACCTTAATAAGTAAGACAATTCCAGTGAGAAGGGTTGACGCCGCTAGTGGTGACCCAGAATGCACCAGGAATTCCGTAGTTACTTTGGTACTAGAGATCTAGATCAGAAACTGAAGTCTTTTGAAGCGGCCACACTTGAATGCCCCACTTGACACCTGAACTTGGGCAAAAATAGCATTTGTGTTCCTCCCAAACACCTATTGTGTCTCCTCAGGCTTTTCCCACCATCGATACAGCCTAGAAACCCCCCAACCCCTCCTCTGCTTGCCCCTCTCCCGACAGCTGCCATCGCTGGCTCCTGTTGATAAGGAAGATGGCATCTGATTGGGCTGCTCAGTGATCGTGGGGCCACAGCCCGCTGAGATTTGCACAACTCAACTCCTCCCTTATCTCCTCCTTGCGGCGCTCCCTCCTTGCCCACTCTGGGCTGGCCAGACTCACCACCTTCTTCCCGCCCCCACTCCCGAGGCCAAGCTCTTCTGCTAATCTCTTTTAGGCAGATCCCTCCCTTTCGGTGTAAGTGTGCATGTGTGTGTGCATATGCGTGCATGTGTGCGTGCGTGCATGCGTGTGTGTGTGTGTGTGTGTGTGTGTGTGTGTGTGTGTGTATGTAGCTAGTGTGTACTCTGAAAGGCTGCCTTGTCTGCAGGTCCAGCCAGGTATGTCTGATACTTGGAAAACTACAGACTGATCTTAGCTAGGTCATCCCCAAGGTCGGGGCACAGTTCAACAGAATCACTCAGGCCCAAACTAAGCTAAGCTGCCAATGCAAGGACCCCCAGGCTCAAGGGCTCACCGACCTTCCTTCCTCCTGTCCTGAGATGCAGCAGATGCCGCCGTGTGCAGACCTAGAAATGAATCACATCTTCTCATGAAGCCCTTGGGTCAGATATGAGTGGAAGCCGCAGAAACTTCCAGTAAGGGTGTCCTAGTCCCAGCAGACATGCTCTCAAGCTGAGTAATGCAGCTGCCCTGCACTGGCGTCTGAGCTCTTGCGGCAGCGTCCATCTCAGTGGAGGAACACAGCCTTTAACTAAGAGAAGCCATAGTCAGTCGGGGGGTGGTGCACGCCTTTAATCCCGCCACTTGGGAGGCAGAGGCAGTCGGATCTCCGTGAGTTGGAGGTCAACTTGGTCTACAGGGCAACTTTCTGGACAGGCTTCGAAGTTACCAAGAAACCCTGCCTGAGAGAGAGAGAGAGAGAGAGAGAGAGAGAGAGAGAGAGAGAGAGAGAGAGAGAGAGAGAGAGAGAGAAGCCATAGTCTCCTTCCAGCCCACCCTTCTGGGGCATCCTATGGAATTCTGCCTCCAGGCAGGATTTGACTGGTTCTGGAAGTCACTTTCCCCACAGGATCCAAGAAAGCTCTCTCTCCTGCCCTCTGTCGTACACCAGGGCCACCTTTACACCCACTGGGCATGCTCTACCAAAGGGAGCCCAGTAGCCGGCTGCATGTTGCAAAGACTCACTCATGAGAATTCCCCTATGAGAACCTCCACAAAGGCAAAGCTGGAGGAGGAACAATCAGACTGGAGATGTGGTATCTGGGAAGACATGAGGGGAATTCTAAACCCATGGAATTCACCAGAAGTCAGGGCCCTGTACCGTCTCAGGAGCCTGTAGGAAAAGAATGGAACCGGGGGAACTCTGTCTCTGGACTTGTGCCACAGGAGTCCCAGAGAACATTACAAAACAAGGCTCATCTCCTTCTCAGAAAACATGCTGTCACCAACTGACAAAAAGTTGAGAAGAAGCAGAAGGAGTTGGGAAAAGGATTTGAAATCCCAGACCAAAATTTTTTTTCTTTTTTGGTTTTTCGAGACAGGGTTTCTCTGTGGCTTTGGAGGCTGTCTTGGAACTCGCTCTTATAGACCAGGCTGACTTCGAACTCACAGAGATCCGCCTGCCTCTGCCTCCTAAGTGCTGGGATTAAAGGCATGGTCCACCAACACCCTGCCAAAATAATTTTTTTAAGGACAGGAACTTTCTATGTAGCCCAGACTACCTTGGAACTTTAAAATGTGTGTGTGTGCGTGTGTGTGTGTATGTATTATTTATTTTATGTGCATATGTGTGTGCATGCTCACACATGAGCCACCGTGTACATGTGGAGATCAGAGAACAATGCCCAGGAGTTGGTTCTCTCTTCCAACATGTGAGTCCTGGGAATGAGACAGGCTGTCAGGCTTGGCGGCAGTGCCTTTAGCTGCTGAGCCATCCTGCCGGTTACCTTTAGCCTTCCTATCCTTCTTGCCTCGGCCTCCCAAGTGCTGGGATTCCAGGCACGTAGCTTTTTTAAATAGGTTCTTTGGGGGGATGTTTGGTTGTTGGCCTCTTGGGTTTGGGTTTTTGAGACAGGATCTCTCTACATAGCCCTGGCTAATGTAGGCCAAATTGGCCATGAACTTAGAGACCCATCTCCCTCTGCTTCCCGAGTGCTGGGATTAAAGTTGTGCACCATGCCCAGCTTTACAAATGTTTGTTTTGTCTTTGTTTGCTTGCTATTGTTGGTTTTAAATAGGTTTCAAACCTCAAATGGACAGGAGAGGTGACAGAAGTCTTGAGGGACGGGGTAGAGGATCTTCCTGGGTAGGTAGCTCCTCCTCCACAGATACCCCAAGTCCTGCCATGAAAGGCCCACAGGTTTGAGATTTGATGCTCAGCCTACAGCCACTGGGAAATGCAAATTAGCATAAGAAGGATACAGCCCGTTCAAGACCACAAAACAGAGACTGATAAGATCGAGTGTCGGTTAGGATGTGGGAAGCTGCTGCAGTCTTTCACTGTTGTGGGGAAAGACATTGCCCAGCACACTGGACAGCGTGTCAACCGCTGGCTTTCTCTTGTCTCTTCTCTAGGAAAAACCATCCTTACCCACCAGACAGCAAACACACAAAAGACAATGATGGAGTCACTCAGTGGTGCACACCTTTACTCCCAGCATTCGAGGGGCAGAGGCTGGCAGATGCATCAGTTCAAGGCCAGCCTGGTCTACACATGGCGTTCCAGGCCAACCAGGATGACATACTGAGACCCTCCCCCGTAAAAACAAAACAAAACAAAAAAAAAAAAAAACAGTGGTGGGAGTCTCATTGTCTATGCACCAGGGATGTGAATGGGCAGATGGTCTACTCTCCAAGACCTGCTGGAGACTCTGTAAAAGCCAAATGAAGAGTCATGGTTGGGTGTGGTGCGTGACTGTAATGTACCCAGCACTCTGGAGGTACTGGCAGAAAGATTAGGTAATTGCAGACATCCTGGACTACATGAGAGTTCAAGATCAACCTGAGCTACCCAGACCCTGTCTCAAAACAAAAACAAAGACAAACTGCTTGCCCAGCACACCCAAAGCCCTGGGCTCAACCTCACACACTGTATACATCAAACCATAAGCAGGAGAGGGAGGGAGGGAGACCAGTTCAAGACTATCCTTGGCTACATAGCAAGTTGGGGGCCAGCCTGAGCTACATGAGTCCTTATCCTCCCCCAAAAAACCCTCTATACATATTGATGAAAAGTGATCCAAATACAGATATGCATTCGTACAAGCCTGTAAATGAAATAGTAAGCTTTAATGGTTACAGCTTGGGAGGAATTACTATTAAACAATCGGCTTAATCATAGCATTTATAGTTTTGGAGGCTTTTTTTTTACATGTTCAAGATGGTATTAAGTACATTATTTTAATTTCAAAAGTGTTTTCACGGGCTTGAGAGATGGTTCCACGAGTAAAGGTGCCAGCTGCCAAGCCTGATGACCTGAGTTCATATTCCCGGAAGCCACATGGTCAAAGGAGAGAACCGGACTCTCAAAAGTTGTCCTCTGACCCCCACCGGCACTTGAGAGTGTGTCCCCGCCTCCAACCAAGAAAGTTCCCACTTTGTAGAATAAAGGAAGAAGATGGGCTCCACACACTGGCCAAGCCTCGCCACTCACACGTCATACTCTTCCCTTTATCTCTGGTGGTCCTGTGGCTGCAAACTCTTGCGTGCCCTAGATAAGGAGGGCTTGGGGAGTGGGGGAGGGGCGTGGGGGTCCTCTGCTCACCCCTGCCCCCTCCAGGGCAGGTGTCACACTGCCCATTGGAGATGGAAGGGCCACCTTCCTGCCATCTCCCTCACGGCAGCAGCCCACCCTCTCTCCACGCCGTTCCTCACAGCCCATGCCCACACCAGCCTGCTACTGTCCCTTGCCTCCCCCCATACACACACCCAGCTTCCAGTCAGCCATGGACCATTTTTCCCCACGCAGACCCCGGGCTCCACGCAGTAAGTTATACCTGACCCATCTGAGTGCCCTGTCCTTCCTACATCCTAATGCCCATTGTGGTGTTGGCTTCTAGGAAGTGTCCAATTTTCCTAACTCGTTGTCCAGACTCATTTCTGGGACGTCCAAAAAAAAAAAAAAAACCGGAGTCAGAGACACCACGGATGTTCCTCGGGGGACAAGCGTCCACCATGTGCTCCAGGTCACCCAGCCCGCACCACTGGCTGGCCAGACCTTCTCCTCTGCTCCTCATCCTCTCCTTTCTCTCTTTCCTGAGTCCTTCCAGCTTATATTGCAAACACCAACAGCCCAATATCATCCTCCAGCCAAAATGACCACACAGGTTTCTTTTCATCTCTCCAGGACCCCACACACACACCCCGCACCACCCCACCCCCCGACCTGCAGTAAGGGGACGCGAATAGCTTTCTCTTGCCCCGATTCAACTCTTGGAGAATGAATGAACTACTCCGAGCCATCTCCTACCCGCGGGTGTGAAGAGAAGAACTCTGTTTGCGTTTGCATATTACAGTTACCACCCGCGCCGCCTCACTCCAGTTTGAGTGAGGAAACGAAGTGAGGAGTGGCCCTGTCCTCTCCTGCTCCAGCCACTGGTGTCTACTTACCTTTGGAAAGGCTCGAAGCATCCCCAGGAACAGCAATCCCATTGCAGCGCGGAGGGCGCTCATCCTGGTTCCCGGAGTTTATAGCTCCAGCGCCTGACCACCTGCCGGCACCCTGCCTCCCACGGTGAAATCACTTCTAATGTGGCTGCGCCTTCCTCGGGTTCAGCCCTAATCTCCCCCCCCCCCGCGCGCGCGCGCCCTTACCACCTGTGATGCAGCGATCTGCTTCCCTGTGAAGCCTAAGAGAGAAGGGGCCACCGCGTGCAGAGATGACTCAGGGCTAGCCACAGCGGACACACTCAGGGGGCTCCCCTGAGGCACACGCGTGCTCTGCAGTTTGAATGGTCCGCCCCGGTTTTGAGGAGGAACCGGGAAGGCAGCTCAACCCTAAGGGCGCAGGGCGCAGGAGTTTGAGAGGTATCTGGAGTCCTGAGTCCCCTAGCCCCATCACTAGCCCAAGGAAGGGTGAGCCGATTTCCTGCTCTTAACAGTACACTACAGAAACTGGCCTTCTTCTACGTCGTTGGGATTCTTTGGAAGGGGCAGAATCATTATTTCAGAGAAAGTGAGCGTTTCTTCATCACGAAGATCTGCTGTAAAATAAATGAGTGCGTGGGGAATGAATGGATGGTTAGATAAATGGACGGAAAGGTGGACGAGTGAGCAGGAGGAGGAGAGCATAGATGGATGGACAGATGGGTGGAGGGTAGATGAATGGACAGAACAAATGGGCAGATGGATGAGGAGATGGATCGGGTGATGGATGAGTGGGAAGAGAACGCATGAGTGATAAGGGGATGGGTGAGCAGATGGATAGAGAACCAATGGATGACGAGATGGATGGGGATTGATGGATGAGAGGATCCATCAATCAAGAGGGGATGGATGGGTGGATGGATGAAGACATGGGGCCGATGGATGGGCGGGTGAGAGGGTGGAGGGACGAATGAAGAGATTAGGAAATGGATATACGGATGGATGGATGGATGGATGGATGGATGGATGGATGGATGGATGGATGGGTACATGATGGGAAGACTGATAAGGAGAGGGGATGATGGATACCAGGGATAATGGTGGCATGGATGGATAAAGTGATAGACAGACGATAGACAGACAGACGCATGCATACATGCATGGAACAGGGTAGGCAGGTGGGTGGACTGACTCATGGAAGAACTGTGTGAAGACCAGGGCACCTGTGTATCAATTCACAGCTGTCCCCACCCCATACTGTTTTACCTGAAGGAGGTACCTGGCATCTTACCTACAATCAAGACTCATTTGAACCCTTATTCATTTCCCTTTGTGTGGGGCTGCTGTTCCCACCTGGGGTTCCCCCAACCCCAGGCTCTCCTTTTCCTTCAGCACATGGTCACTGGATGAGCACTGACTAGCAGCTGTAGCCTGCTTTTGTCTGTTTTTCTTTCTTTCTTTCCTTCTTTCTTTCATCCTTTCTATTTTCTTCCTCCTCCTCCTCCTTCTTTTTTGAGAAAAATGTCTCTGTGAAACACTCCTGTGTGTCCTGGAACTCATTCTGTAAACCAGGTTGGCCTCAAACTCACAGAGATCCACTCACCTCTGACTCCCAAATACTGGGATTAAAGTGGTGTATGAACACTCCTGGTTTGTTCTATTTTCAAACATAGAAACCAACACAGAAACAGGCAACCTGTCTGTGTGCTAATGATGGGACCCAAGGATCTTTTGGCTTCCACACTTTGGTCTGGACCAGGGCACCTGCTGCCACTCCCTAAGAGTACCTTCCAACAAAGTCCCTGCAAACTCTCTGTTCCACACTCAGGCCTCTCTGATATCTGCATCCTACCTGAAAAACCCACCCATCCTTCCTGTGCATCTTTCATAGAGCCACTCCAGACCCTCCCTCCTCTGATATGCCTGCCTCAAGGCTGAAGAAACAGCTCAGCACTTAAGAGCACTGACTGCTCTTCCAGAGGACCAGGGTTCAATTCCCAGCACTGACATGACAGCTCACAGCTGTCTGTAACTCCTGTTCCAGGAGATCTGACACCCTCACACCAATGCACATAAAATAAAATTAAATAAACTTTAAAAAAGTGCCCACATCTAACAATCACAGGACCAGGTAGGGGCAGAGGAAGTTGGAGCCCCTGCTTCCCAGAACGCAGCTGGTGTTTGCCCTGAGCTGGTGTTTGTTAGACTCTCTCGGAGAATAAAACTGTAGCATCTAAATAGCTTGCACCAGGTGGCAACCAAATAAAAATCACACACTGTGGAAATCCAACCTTCCTAGTAACCAAAGGCAAGCAAATGAAAGCACCCTGGGCCTGTTAAGTCAGTGGTGAGTTTTTAAATTCATAACAACAGTTAGGGGAAAGAGGAGAACGTCATTCATCTGCGCCGGTCAGCTCGTGAGCTCTCTCAGCGTCATGATGGTTCTTAGCAAAAGCAAAAGAATGATTTTTTTTTAGGTTTACAACTTATTGCTCCATAATTTTACCAGCAAAACAATGGAAATCAACAGTGCCACTTGGAAATGAAAACAGAAAACTATAAATTTGCCAGTGTCTGCTTACATGGTGTTTACAAGTGTTGGGAACAGTCACTCTGAGTCACAGTAGGAAATGAGTATAACTAAGGTCCAAGCGATAGTACACATCCAAGCAAAATGGTAATATTATGGGTGAAGAAGTTTGTCTCTCTGCTATCCTCCACACAGGCAGCTTCTGCTACACACATGTCCCCAGGCCTTTGTTCAGCATGAACCCTAGCAGAGGTTCACTGTGACTGGGGGAATGGGCCCCACCCTCTGGAGACACTTTTTTTTTTTTTTTTTTTGGTTTTTCAAGACAGGGTTTCTCTGTGTAACAGCCCTTGTTGTCCTGGAACTAGCTTTGTAGACCAGGCTGGCCTCGAACTCACAGAGATCCTCCTGCCTCTGCCTCCCAAGTGCTGGGATTATTGGTGTATGCCACCATGACCACAAGACTCTTTTTCTTTAAAAAAAAACTGATTAATTATTATAGTGTGTGCACATGTACATGTGACACACATATGTGTGAGTCTGTGCCTCGGGGCATGGGTTGAAGCTCAGAGGACAGCTTTCTGAGTAGGCTGTCTCCTCCTCCCACCCAGTTTTGAGGCAGGGTCTCTCCTGAGGTTGCTGCCAGAGAACCGTGCACTCCAGGCTGACTGGCCCAAGACGTCCATCTTGCGGAAGCACTGGCGTCACCTCGTCACCAGGCAGTCAGCGTCAGGGCTCACACAGTCCCTATGTGTCAGAGTGAGCTCAGGCTGGCCCACACAAGGGTTTCTGGCAGTTAGACACAAGCCAGCGTTCCTCGGGAACTTGTGAAATGGTTCCAAGGGGAGTCATTTCCTTGCCTCTGGCAGAAGGGACATGGGCTCCATGGACATATACCTGTGATTGTATGTCAAAGACCCACGCAGGCCTCCAGGCTCCCTCAGGCCTTGCTCACAAGTACATGCTCTATACATGTCAAAGTCCGCACTAGCCTCCTGGCCCTTCCCATCCCCCAGCTACTGTCCTTATAATCCATGTGGTTTGTCTACATCCACATCCATCTCTCTCACTTCTGTGGCAGACAACAGCCCTGGCCATGTCCAGTCTGCTTCTCTTTCTCTCTGCTCCAGAGTCTTCCAGATGCCTCTGGATATTTTCTCTCCGCTATTCACAATAAAAATCTTCCCCTTGACTATACCATGGAGTGAACATTTCAGTGGTTTCTTTACTGCCCCTCTCCTCAGGCCAGGCGCTCACGCAAGTGCTTTTACCCAATGAGCCTCCTTACCAGCTCTGTGTTCTTTTTTTTTTTTTTTTTTTGGTTTTTATGAGACAGGGTTTCTCTGTATTATTTTGGAGGCTGTCAGTCCAGCCTGGCCTCGAACTCACAGAGATCCTCCTGCCTCTGCCTCCCGAGTGCTGGGATTAAAGGCGTGCACCCACACCCCCCCGGCTCTGTGTTCTTGATTGGACAGTGCAAACCATGGCCCATTTTGCCTGCTTGCTCTTATGCTAAGAGTTTGCACTCGTCAGAAACGTAAACCCTCTCGCACATTTCGTGAAGCCTGACTTTCGAGCCCATTTAGCCAGCGAGAAACTAGGGCCAGAGCCGTTGATCCGTGGTTACCTCGCTCCGAGAGGAAGGCGTCCAGAATTCCGGCTGCTGCAGCTCACAGCCCGCGTTCCCTCGCTCCCTCTAGATCCCCCTCACAGCACTTGGCCGGCCCCTCGCACTCTCCACTCAGAGCCCAGGACTGACATTCTTTTTTTTTTTTTTTTTTTTTTTTTTTTTTTGGTTTTACGAGACAGGGTTTCTCTGTATTGTTTAGGAAGCTGTCGGTCCAGCCCGGCCTCGAACTCACAGAGATCCGCCTGCCTCTGCCTCCCGAGTGCTGGGATTAAAGGCGTGCGCCACCACTGCCCGGCTAGGACTGTCATCCTAAGTGCAGCTCCCCATTTGTAGGTTACCTAGTGCAATCCCCCCCCCCCATGCTCCGGTCAAATGGCCATTTCTGCTGTTCTGGGTTTCAACTCCAGAGCTGATCTAACTGTGTCAGAACACAGTGTCTGTACTGACTGGTTCTGTGTCAACCTGACACGAGCTGGAGTCATCAGAGAGGAAGGAGCCTCGGTTGAGGAAATGTCTCCATGAGATTCTGCCGTAAGGCATTTTCTCAGTCAGTGATCACTGGGGGAGGGCCCGGCCTATGCTGGGTGGTGTCGTCCCTGGGCTGCCGGTCCTGGGTTCTACAAAATGTGAATTGACCAAGCTACGGGAAGCAAGCCAGTAAGCAGCACCCCTCCATGCCCTCTGCATCAGCTCCTGCCTCCAGGTTCCTGCCCTGCCTGAGTTCCTGTCCTGTCTTCCTCCAGTCATGGACTATCATCTGGATGTACAAGCCAAATAAATAAACCCTTTCCTCCCCAACTTTCCTTTTGAGTCATGGTGTATCATCACATCAATAGAAACCCTAAACGAAGACAATGTTTCTCTACCCCAGGACACTGTGGTGTCTTAGAGAAACAGAGTACTTGGGGGGGCGCTGAGGACAGTGTCTGGCATGGGACTATGGCAGTGACTACTTAGCTGGAGAGAAAAGCTACAGCCTGCAGCCAGGGAGTTAAGTGGGCTGCATCCTAAGCCAAGGGTGAGAGACAAG